TTTTCTTAGCTTTTCTCAACTTTTTAGTTTAAAATTTATTTAAAAACTCCTTAATAACGATGGTCTAGTAAGTATGTCTAGGTCAACTATGTACAAAGACAAAAGCCAAATTAAAGCACAGTTGTGACGAATACAATTTTATCCAAAATATAAAACTGCAAGTGCGTAGTACTAGTATTTAGGCGACCAAATGCACAAAGACCAAGTAAAACTAAACTAATATTAAAAAGATTATTCAATAATTTAAGCTAATAATGCAAACTAAATTAAAGAATAAACAAATCATTGAGTTAAATCTTAGGAAATTATGACATGAATCACACATGCTACGCCCAAGTATACTCGTGAGTTCTATGCCATCATCTGTTCTACTTGTGCCCATACTCGCATACTCTCACAGTTTGGTCTAAACTCTTATCAACTCGCTTCACAACCTCTTGGATCGGAACTAAATTATTCGACTTCTACTTAACACATCTTTGGGTCATGACAAACTTTTCTTTACTATACAAGAAATTTTTTAAAGACTAAATTGTTATTTGTTCATTTGTTTCCACAAATTGAAATAAGCATTAATTACGATCATAATTTGATTCGTTCACAAAGCTCAATAAAACATCAACTATCGCTGATTAAGGAAGCTGTATATATGCAACAACATGTTTTTTTTTGTCATGATGAATTAATTTAGGTCAGTAGGTTGATTGGCCAAATTAAACCAAGCAATAAGCACAGTAGTTCGAACTATATCATCGGTCAATCCCATTAGGAACCTAATTAGAGATTCCAAAACCCAATTAATGATACTCACACATGACAGAAATAGACGTAGGTACCATATAAAAATTCAAAAAGAATAATAAAGGTTGTCTCTTCTACAAATCAGAATCTCGTAAAAAGAACAACACCTTAGAGTTGCTGTCTAAATCTTGAAATTAACCTTTTTAAGATACATATCTACAAATAAAATTAAAATTGGGCTTGCACATTTGCTCCAGTTGAATACCCCATGAATATGTCCATGTATATACAGTATATTTATAACTTGATGTTACAAAAAGTATATTCTTATAAATTAGAATATTAACTATGCATGTTGTTGATAATTCTATTAATATTAAATATGTATATATGGTTTATCCTCTCTCTTTTTTTTGTGAATATGGTTGATCCTCTATATGTAGACAGCAAAGCAAACGTATGTGTGGCTCCTAATATCTTACCTATCTTATATAATATAACAAGGTTTTTCCTAACTTTTCACCACGTTACGACATTTGGCGCTCTCTGTTGATGACATGTGTCATCCTTTATTTTTAATTAATTATTTTCATTTTTATTTTTAACTAAAACATTTATGTCAATCTTAATTCCAAATAACCATATAATTAGGTAAAAATTAAAATAAAATTATTATGAGTAAAATTATTAATTGGGATCAAAATTCATTTCTCTAAAGCAAAAGATATAACTAAAGTTTTAAAACAAAATCACATATTGCATATGATATATCACATATATATATGTATATATGATTTACTATCACATAATTAAAAAATCTATTTTACATAATTTTCGTACATTTTATTTAAATTTTCATCCATCATATTTATTTTATTATAAAATACTCTGTTCTTTTTTTCACTTTAATGATGGAAGAAACTTAAATAAAATGTATGCAAATTGAGTAAAATAGATGTTTTAATTATTTGATAGTAAATCAACAATTGTGGGAGTTAATTCTTATTAATTTTGTGTTGAATAAAATTGAGTACAGAAATATAGTTAATGCAAATTTTTTATAATTTCAGTTTTTATATTAAAGTGTGAGTTAAATGTAGAGATCTAATTAATTGTGTTTTAATTGAATATATATTTTTCAGTTTTAAAATTAAAGTGAGAGATAGATATATATGATCAATTGTGTTTTATTTGTGGTTTGTTTCACTTTCTTCTTATTGGTCTATTTTTCTATAAAATGTTCTTTTTTAAAAATTATGTTTTCAACTAAACCAAAAATAAAACACATTTAGTTATATATATTAAACTGACACTTTAATATAAACCTAAAGAAAAAATTATTTTAATCAAGCCATAAAAAAAAAAAAATTGATCATCTATATTTATATTCAATTAAAACACAATTAATTATATACATTTAACTTACACTTTAATATAAAAACTGAAATAATATAAATTTGCATTCACTATATTTTTCTACTCAATTTTAGTCAACACTCAATAAATTAGAATTAACTCCTACAATTTTTTCTTCTAAATTGTAACTCTCATCACTTCTCATCTTATAAATACTCATTTTCTCATTCTCTCATTCCCTCCTTCTCTTCCACTTTATCTCAAATCTTCTATAATTGAGTTTGTTTTGTTTTCTGTTTCTTTTTGTTGGTTGTTTGTTGTTGTATGAGTTGAAAAACAAATTTAATTTGCATTGTACAAGTTTGATCTAAATTTTAATTTTAGACACTATATGATATATATTTACATTGTTTTATATGACACTATTTCATCTCTATTGTCTATTTTAGATTACCATCTTATAATTAATCTCTCTCCATCTCTCATTATTTTTCACTACATTCATGTATCTTAAATATTTTTCTATTTTTGTGTTGTTATATGGATTGAAAATCAATAAAAGTATCATTCTAAGAATTTGATCTTAATTTATTTTAGAAAGTATGATATATATCAAACATAGTTTCAATTTTTATTTCTAATGCCTTATTATACATACTTTTTTCAATTTTTATGTCTAATGCCTTATTATACATACGTTTTCATACTTATGAGTATGAATGAAGAAAGTATGATATAACACATATGTAAAATAAAAGTTTTGATTGTTATATAAATAAAAGTTTCAATTTAAACCTTTAACAAATAACTTCCTTCTATTTTTTTGAAAATGTCAAATATTATTTTGTAATTCATTTCAATATATGTATAATTATATTTAGTTTGTGATCCAATAGATTATTATAATATTTAATTTATTTAAAATTTGAGGTCTAACTGTTTAAAAAGAAACAAAAAGTACTTGGTTTTAAAAAATTGGTCTTTAAATTTTTTTAAATCATATAGTTCATAAAATTTAAATTTAGTTTAATTCATTCATCAGTTGAACAAGGTTTTTTCTAACTTTTCACCACGTTACGACATTTGGGGCTCTTTGTTGATGACATGTGTTATCCTTTATTTTTTATTAATTATTTTCATTTTTATTTCTAACTAAACATTTATGTCAATCTTATTTCCAAATATTCATATAATTAGGTAACAATTAAAATAAAATTATTATGAAAAAATTATTATGAGTAAAATTATTAATTGGGATCCAAAATTCATTTGTGTAAAGCAAAAGATATAACTAAAGTTATTTTCCTATAAATATAACTTGACATCTACTTCTGAATCCAATTTTTAATACCTAAAGTTCTTTTGCCAAAAAAAACAGATTATTTTATAATAAAATTTCATATTGCATATGATATAAAATCACATATATATATATATATATATGTATATATGATTTACTATCACATAATTAAAACGTCTATTTTACATAACTTTTTACATTTTATTTAAATCCTACTACATTTTTATTACATTTTATGAATTAATGAACTTCACTAAAATCCTATTAAATTATAATATTTAATAAGGTATGAGTTATTATACACTAATATCATATCCAATCTACACTTTACACTAATATCATATTTAATCATTTGTTCTAAATGATAGTCTTTCTTTTTATAACAATATAAATATCTAACCCAAGTTAGATTTTCCTAGAGAGACCGAACATAAATTCGATTACTTAAGAGCATTTCATGATTGTTGTCATGTACATATAATAGACAGATATATTCGTTCATCTTCTTTGTTAATGTTGATGTAAACATGTGATGCCTTTTTAATATAAATTCATTTCTTTAGCTTTTATAGTTATGTCAATCTTTATGTTTGTTCTTAAATGGTTTCAATATTAATTTTATTCTTGAACAAATTCTACATACAATAATTCTTATATATAAAAAAGATCTCATCTACGTATATGTGAGCTTCTTTTCTAATCAATTAGAATGAAAATATCAAAGTTCTTTTTTTTCAAATAATCTTCACGTGTTGATTTGGCTTTTGTTTTATCTTTTTAGTGTTTACATAATTATAAATTATATCTCATGTGAAATATTTTCTAAATTGAAAAAGTTTTTCTAAGTAATGTCTAAAAAAATCATACATCTTAGGTGAAATATGAGTTTTGTTTACTTTTAATATTAACAATGTGCACACAAAAAAATAACATCAATTTACAATTGCCTACAATATTATGTATGTGCTAATTTGTATCACTTTGTTTTGGTCTCATTCGGTTTCATATTTTTCAAATATATATTTTATTTACTTTTACTGTTTATAATGTACACAAATATGTTTTATATTAACAATTACTTATATATATCTTAATGTAGTTTTCAATTTCTAATTCAAATTAATATTTCATATATAACCCACGCATCGCGTGGGCAACTTTCTAGTTTTTTTATATGTTAGACTAAAATATATAATCTCAAATGAGTATTAAAACCACCGTTATAAAATGAAAAAATGATATAAATGAGATGGGACACGACGGTTATGAAATAGTCATCTTTTTGTGGCTTTTTTTTTTACTACTTTTCTTTTATGTGTATGTTCTCTACTTAAGAAAATAAATCTGATAATTTCTCTATCTAAATCGAATTAAAAACAACTTGAAACTGGTACGAATTCTTTTGATTAAGAATTACATAACATTACTTAAAAAACATTTACAAACTTAACTTTGCACGTATGTAATATATTGAAATAAAACCATTACACACGTATGTAATACAAACTTTTGAAATCAACCCCGCACGTACATCCCTAGTATACAATTATATATGCCTACAAACACGTTTAAAAATAATATTCAAATAACCTAATATAAAAAAAAAAAGAATAAGAAGTCGAACATATATGATGACCCTATTATAAAAGAAGAGAGATAAACGTCTTTGACTATGATCAATAAAAACAAAGATGACAATCTCTGACTATGTTTTTACTGTGATCGTTGTATTCTCTGTTTTTTGGTATCTTTGGCTTTACACCAACTACAAACGGCGGTTTCCACCGTTGCCGCCGGGACCTTGGGGCCTTCCCATCATCGGAAACCTTCCATTCCTCCAACCGGAGCTTCACACATACTTCCAAGGGCTGGCTAAACAGCACGGTCCCATTTTCAAACTCTGGCTCGGTGCCAAGCTGACAATTGTGGTCAGCTCTCCTGAAGTAGCGCAAGAGATTCTCAGAACCAATGATACGATCTTTGCTAACCGTGATATCCCTGCTGTGGCTCCGGGCAATACGTATGGCGGTTCTGAGATCCTTTGGTCGCCGTATGGACCAAAGTGGCGGATGCTTAGGAAACTATGTGTTAATAGGCTACTAAGCAACGCCATGTTGGATTCCTCCGTTGAACTCCGTCGTGGAGAGACTCGGCGAACAGTCCGGTACTTAGCAGACCAGGCTCGGCTCGGGAAGCCCATTAACCTGGGAGAACAGATATCATTAATGAATGTAAATATTGTGAGACAGATGCTATGGGGCACGACGGTCAAGGGAGAAGAGAGGGAGATTGTTGAAGCCGAGTTCTTAGAATTGGTTACAGAGATGAATGGCCTCTTACTAAAGCCTAATATCTCTGACTTTTTTCCGGTATTGAGCCGGTTTGATCTTCAGGGTTTGGTTAAGCGTATGCGAAGACCGGCTCAAAGAATGGACCGAATTTTTGACCGGATCATTAACCAACGGTTGGGGACGGGCAGTGGCAGTGATGAGAGAGTTGTGGATTTTCTAGATGTCTTGTTAAAAGTCAAGGATGAAAAAGATGACAAGACAAATTTAACAATGAACGATGTCAAGGCGTTGCTCATGGTAAGTTATGAAAAATTGGTCCCTAGTAACGCAATTATATTTGTTAAAATCGGCTTGTTTATTGTAGGACATGGTGCTCGGTGGTACAGACACATCATTACACGTCATAGAATTCGCGATGGCCGAGCTATTACACAACCCGGAGATCATGAAGAGAGCTCAACAAGAGCTTGACAAAGTAGTAGGCACAGATAAAGTAGTGGACGAATCTCACATCTCTAAACTTCCATACATTCTCGCCATTATGAAAGAAACTCTAAGGCTTCACACAATTGCTCCACTCCTTTCTCCCCGCTGCCCTTCACAAACCACTGTGGTTGGTGGCTTCACCATCCCTAAAGATTCAAAGATTTTCATTAATGTGTGGGCGATCCATAGGAATCCAAATATATGGGAGGATCCACTCAAGTTTGATCCTGACAGGTTTCTTGATAGGTCTTATGACTTTATCGGAAATGACTTCAGTTATCTACCGTTCGGGTCTGGTCGTAGGATGTGTCCGGGGTTGGCTATGGGCGAGAGGGTTGTTCTTTACAATCTCGCTACGTTCTTGCATTCTTTTGATTGGATAATTCCCCAAGCAGAGAGAGTTGGGATCGAGGAAACGTTTGGGATCACACTGAAGCTGAAAAATCGACTTGTTGCCACGCCGGTGCTAAGGTTGTCCGATCCAAATCTTTATCTCTAGTTCAACACAAAGGAGAACTAAAACTTATACTGCTGGTTTAAATATATGTCTTGTACTATGGACGCGAATAAAATCTCCATAACTTAATTTATATCACAAAATTACGGACTACTTGTACAATTCAATACGGTAGTATTAGTATACAATGGATTATGCATATTTGTAATTGTTCTCTCTTTTTTTTTTGGTAGAGTAGGTAAGTACATCAGCTGTATCATCGATGAAAACAAATATAAATTAAAAGACAAAGACTTTAACCCACTAAAGACACAACCTTTTTGGTCTTGTGTTAAGTTCATAAAATCAACCCAATAGAAAAGAAAACGGTTGGTCATTTTGATGCACTCTTCTTTTATGATACATCTGGTTGAAATTTGCAATCATCTTCTCGAATTATACATATATTGGATCCTTCTTTGGTAACTTCATGTAATAGTTAATTGCGTGCGCAGTTTTTCCTTTATATGGTCCTAATAACACAAACACTAATCTATGAAGTAAAAACAAATTAAAAACAAAAATCAAAAGTTCAAAATTTTTAAAAGTTTAGTGCTAAATGTTTTGAGAAATACAGTAAAATCTCTATAAATTAATAATATTGGGACTATAATCTATTAATTTATAGAGATTTTAATTTATCGATAAATTAATAATTATTAATTTATAGAGAGATTTTTCTATTTTGGAAAGTTTTTTCAAAAATATTTAAAAATAATCTCTAAAAAAAACTAATGTGTCTATATATACATATATTTTGAAAATTTTACCTAATTATTAATTTATAATATTGATGAGACCATATATTTAAAAGGATTTTCAAAAAAATTATTATCTTATTATTTTATCGAAATGAGTTTAAAATTATACTGATCCTAACTTGGGACCGGAAAAAATTATTAATTTATAAAAAGTTTTAATTTATCGAATATTAATTTATAGAAGTTATATTGTACCAAAGTTTAACATGACATTACTAATACATATTAAATCTGACTTATCGTTTGTCGTCTATTATCGTATTAAACCCGTAGGCCTTATAATTAACAAATACACTCATCTAACATTCTTTGCTTTTGAAATTGGTTCGAATCTAAAAATAATTCTGAATCCGGTAAGGCCCACGGATTTGATGCCCAGTTTAACATCATTATCTTTGAATTATACTATTAACCAGTTAATATTGTTGTGTGTCATTAGGATAACTTATCACAAGTAGTTATAATATTGCAGAAAATGATTAGATAGAAATATTGGATGCTTTACGAATACAATTAATATTTAATGGGAGTTAAATTTATATCCTGTCAAAAACAAATTTTAATTTGTAGTTTAAAGTGAATTCTAAAGTATTAAATTGTGATTTATACATACACATAGAGAGGAGTGTAAACCATGTTGTGGTGAATATTCCATACTTTTATTCTTAGATATTGTGGGTGGGATGTCTGTTTTTCATAACAAAATTATTCAAAATTAAAATAATCTCAGTCTGACTAAATTAAATTATTTCTTTTAAATAAATAGCCATGGTATGGGAATTACATTTTTGTTTCTTAAATCAAAAGATAAAGACACAAATTTTAGAAAACAGCTAATGAGTTGACCAAAACAAATTCTATTTAATTGTGAAACTTATATATTTGTCTAACTAAGATTAGAAGTTAAAAATAACTAATAATTTAAAACAGACTAATATAGTTGTGAGCTATTACCTTACAGATCACCATGGCAGATCACATTTTTATATATTTTGCCAACTGTGATTACAATATCAATTGCCAGCTGGCAATTATCCTCTGAAAATTACGTACCTACCCTTCTCATCACTGTCAACTCTGTCTTGAATCTTCTGACACTAAACCGGGTTTTTAACAAAAACCGTAAAATTCAAAATCATAATTATGAGAAACTACGGTTTATTTTTCTTATTAAATTACGTAATCAAAACTATATATAATTAGTTAATTAAAAAGATGTATTGAATTTTTGATTTTGTGTATACGATTCCAGGTTTACTATTGTTAAACCGGTTTTGCGTACCAGCTAACAGATTCGGTTATAGCGCAAACGGGATAAAGGTGGACAACGACAGAAAAAGAAAAGGGTAGTAACGTAATTTAACTGAAACCAAACCGTGATTAGAAAGATAACTCCTTCTATAATACGAGAAGGGTTTCTTTATAATCAGAGAGACAAACCAAAAAAAAAAAAGTAATTAACAAGAACAAAGAACATCAACCAAGATCATCATCATCTCGGGTAAGTCTCACTCGAACATGTTGGTGCATGAATCTATTAGGTTGTTCGATGTATATGTGAATCAGATGATCTTGTCTCGTTCTTATAATTATACGTTTAGATTTATACGTTACATGTATAGAAAAGTTTCTAATAATGTTTTTTTCTTGGTGGCAGGATTATATTAATATCTTTTAAAAGATGGGTTATTGGAAATCAAAGGTTGTTCCAAGGATGAAGAGATTGTTTGAGAAGAGTCCAGCCAAAAAGACTGATGTTGTTGAGGAGAAGCCAAGAGAAGTTGTGGAAGATGTCGTCAAGACCGAAGAACCTGCCAAGGTAGAAGAAACCAAACCTGAGGAAACTATTGCAACCGGCGAGAAAGAGATCATAGAGATAGTTGAAGAGAAGAAAGAAGAGGTGGCTAAACCCGTGGAGGTTCCCGCCCCGGCCTCAGCCCCCGCAGCTGCGGAGGAGGAGAAGAAGCCAGCCGTCGTAGAGGAAAAGAAGCCAGCGACCGTGGAAGAGGAGAAGAAGCCAGCAGCCGTGGAAGAGAAGAAACCTGTGGAGGAAGTGAAGAAAGAAGTCGTTGCCCCGGCCCCGGTGGTGGCTGAGACTCCGAAGGCCCCGGAAACTCCGGTGGTGGAAACTCCGGCTAAGGCACCGGAAACTCCGGCGGCAGAGCCACAAAAGGCTTGAATTTTCTTTGTGGTACATTTTTCTAAAAAAATATTGATTGTCTTTGTGTGGATAATTTACTTTGTTTGTTTATTTGTTTTATTATCCATGTGAATTTTACTCTATAAATGAATTTGCTTGCTTGAATTATATGTTTTTATGATCCAACTCTTACTTTTTTTCTTCCAAATTTTAAAAAATTTCTTTTAAAAAATCCGGTTTTTATGTAGTTAATGACTCAGACTAACCAAAAGTTTAGAGTTTATACAATTATCTAAAATTATACTCTACTAGAAAAATAGTAAATTTCGCTATTTTTAATTCAAAAATCACTAAATTTACAGTAATCTATATGGATTTAATTGACTTATTAAATTTAAAACACCTATATATGTCTGATAAATTACAAAACTAAATTCTCTACAATACAATAATTTCTAGTCGTGGCAACAAAATGGAACATATATATTTATGCTATATTGTGATAACTACGAGAATATTCATACGTGCAAGCAAGAAAGAACATTGTAATATTCAAGATATGCAACCAACTTATATTTTATTTAAATGACGTGGTACGCACTCTTCTGCTTCATTGGAATTTCTTTTTTTTCTTTTTTTTCCTTCTCGTGAACACAATAAGCTGCGTACGTAATCTTCCATACTAATATTATTAGGAAATAAAATAAATTTTCAGGGTTTTGTTGGATTCGGAATTATCTTAAGTGTGTGTATTCATATGTGGTTCAAGGTCATCGTTGTGACTATTGACTAATTCAATCCATTTTAACCTAATTTTATCTCGATTGATGAAACTACCTAGTATCATTATTGCCACATACTATTACCATCTCATCTCGATGATTGATAATTCTTTGGAATGACTAATCTTTTCTGTGGAATTACCATTTTTCTATCTTTTATTTATTCTTTTTTCTAAAATTTAAAATTAATTTTCTTTTTAATTGTAACACTATCTAGACAAACTATTAGTTAAGAAGACTTGAGCTTATGGTCTTTTTAATGTTACCACTTTGGTTAATGATTAGTTCTTTTTCCGATAATTTAATATTCTTTCCGTTTCATGAAGAATGTAATCTTAAATTTTAATTTCGTTTCACAAAAAGTGTAATTTTGTATTTTCAATGTAGTTTTGATTTTAAAATTTTTTATCTTTATTATTTCAGCTTATCAATTAGAGAGAAGGTATTATAAGGAAGTTTTTTTTTGGGGTTGAATGTAATATTATATTCAATCAAAAACCATTTTTTTTTATATCAAAAATGCATCTTTGTGATTAAAAATTTAGAGGAGAACATTGAAAGTTTAGAGGAGATAGTGAATATAATCTAGTGTATCAATTTGTGTAAAATATAGTAAAATGATACTCTTAATTTATCAAACAAATTAACAAAGGGAATAAATTAGAATTTGATATTCCAAAACCAAAATATAGACCTCAAAGGTCAAAACATATCACTAAAACAAAATAATTATCATAATCTTTTCTTTTAAATAAATACGAAACTGTTGGGATTTTGATTTCTCTATAGAGAGCATTCATACATGCCTAAGACAAAACCCAACTTCGTGATGAATGAGTCTAAAGCTGTAGAGAATGATTCATCTCATCTGTCATAGTATCACATAGTGGATTTTACTTGAAGAAAAACTCAAAACTAGTATCACAGAGATGTTATGTTCCTTACGGACTGTTCCGACTTGGTGAAGATGGTGTCTTCTCCGTCCGAATGGCCGGCCTTCTCTGTTTACCTTGATGATATTGCTGCTGATAGGGAAGAATTTTCATCTTTCTCTGTTTATTATATTTCTCGTAATCTTAATGTAAAAGCGGATTTTCTGGCGCGAAATATTCGCACCACTCCGTTCCCTGTTAAGTATGTAAACAAGTGTCCCTCGAATTGGCTCGTTTGAGCTAATTGCCAGTATTGTTGACAAAAAAAAAAAAAAAACTCAAAACTAATCTAGTTTGAAATTTTGAACCAATTATATAACTGGGAGACAAGAGCATCAAAGAATTTAATTTGGCTAAAGTCAATTATTATAAATATCTTCGGTTCTTATTTTTATCGATTCAAGATTTTGTAATGTATAATACAAATTTTTTTAATAATTTTTTTCTTTAAAAAAAATTTAATTAAAAAAAGAAGAAGATTTACGGGTAAAAAATTCCACACTAAATATTAAAAAAGGGGTCAAAATTGAATAGTAATTTTCTTATATTTAATATTTGGTCTTTAAGATATTTTACATAAGTATAAATATATTACACTTTTAATAATAATATTATCAAGAATAATACTTTTAATGATAATATTATCAAGTATAATTATTTTTTAAATAAAACTTAACAAACCTAAAACAAAACAAAAAAAACTAATCCAACATTGTATTATGAGAGATTTTAATAAAATATAGTAATATACAACAATAAAAGTTACTCTAACTAAAATTTATATTATCAAGAATAAGATATAAATATATATTTTGCTACAAATATGCTCTCTCAGTCCTCGGCCTTCATTGATGCTACCAGCCTTATAAACTGTGATTCATAGTGTTGTATGATCGTGACTGTCCCAATAAATCTCTTGTCTAGTATTGTCTGTGGTCAAAATGTGTGGAAGAGATTTATTACTTAAGAAGAATGTACATTGATGGATTTGGCAAAAGAAACACTCTCGTAGTCATAAGGCACAAAGATAGAAAGCTGTCAATGGGAAACAAAAATTTAAGAAATACATATGAAAACGAAAAAATGATTTTACCGAGGGTTTTATCCTTCAACATTTGGTGGACCTAATCCCTGATTACGGCCTTCAGCTATAGTTCGAAATGGTGCTGATTAAGTGTAACTATGACCATTCAATCAATTTGTTTCAAGCAAATAGAAAGATCTCGTATGGTATTAAAGAACTAAGAATAATTAGAGAGGATTCGTATCAATTAGGAAAAAAATATTTATCAAGCCTTTTTTGTGCAAAGAAAATGCAAGTTAATTAGATTTTCCAAATTTCATAACTTATTATTTTATAGAGATTATTAATTTAACGTGTATTAATTTATAGAGATTATTTATTTGCAAAAGATTTTCCAAAAAAAAATATTATCTTATTATTTTATCGAAATGTGTCTAAAATTATACTAGTCTCAAGTTAGAATCGGAAAAAATTATTAATTTATAAAAATTATTAATTTAATGTGTATTAATTTATGTTGAGCTTCTCTTAATAATTGTTAAATAAATTCTAACAAAAGATCCAAAAAAACGTAAACTAAACGTAAATGTTTTTTCTCGGTTAACATCTAGTATCTTATTAATTCAATCCAAATGAGACATCGATCGTTTTGATGTCACATTAACAATAAACGTTTATATGATGCATTACCTACAATCATAAATAAAATTATTTGGAACTCTTTAAAAATAAAGTGTAAACAACATAATATGTAACTCTAACTTTGAATTATTGTTCAATGTCTAGAACTCTTTTTTCTTTTTCTTTTTGGTAAGGATATCTAGAACTCTTTTGGTGTGTGTTTTTTTTTTTTTTTATAACCTTTTGAAGTCTGCAACTTTTTAACTTAAATAAGGAACTCTTTAAAAGTTACTAACTTTAATTTTAGTGTTTTTTTTGTCGATAATTTTAGTGTTTAACACCCATAATTTACATTAGATTATTGAAAAAAATAAACCTTCTTTGTACTTAAAGACTGCATAAAAAAAAAGCAAAGAACAAACTTGTTGTCACTATTCACATTTAAGGTTTGATCAAATCTTTGCACTTTTGGTGATTCCTCAAAATAATTTGGTTGATTTCTTGGTTGGAGACATGTTAAGATGCACTTGAAAACATCAGATTTGTTAAGGGGCCTCACAGAGCTTCCATTGCTTCACAGTTTCCCTCAAACGAACCGGAACCTTCTTAGACCAGTCACTAAGATCAGGTAAGCCTCCGGTTAAGGCAACAAAGTTGAGACCTTGTGAATCTGGTGTTCTCTTCCAGCTAACCTGCAACAAAATAGATAGTGGCAAATGGGGCTTTTTAATATTTTACTTCTTTTCGTTCAGAAGGATGGAGATGAAATGTGTTAAACTTACTTGTCCGGGAAATGCTTCTGACAAGATCTTGACGGTAGAATTCAACATCCAAGCTGAATCATTTAAGATCAACTGCGGTTTTCCATTCTGTAGTTCTGATTCAATTCCAGCACAATTCACCATAATGCGACCGTTAGGCATTAGCCTACTAGCCAGCTCATGCCAAATTGGGACCTAAAGAGAATCGAAATCAAAATACTAATACGCAAAGAGTCTATGTTTGCCTGATAATACTAGCAACCATAACCATTTGAAGTACCTGTTGTAGCTGATCTAAGACCTTTCCACCAGCAAACAAATCAACAATGATCCCTAAATCAACATAAGAATTCGAGATTTCAGATAAGAACAAACGAATAGGCAACATACATTTATCTTGAAATCTCACCAGCATATTTTCCTTTAGCATCTTCAGAAGGCGAGAGAGCATCGTCTACACGAATAGAAAGTCCACCGCCTTGTGGTGTCGGTTTCTCGAGATCAGACAGCCCAAGATACTCTCTTGCTTTCTCAATCAACTATTTCATATATAAGAAATCACATTGAACTCAACTTGCAAGATTTAAAGAAAACGCCAAAAGAAAAATCTGATTGATTCAAGAAGATAGCTTACATACAATTTCATCAATTTCCCACCCTTCAAGCTGCAGAGAAGGCCATAACTCAAGAATCAATCTTGCATCTGTTCCACCACCCTAAAAACACACATGACCAAATTGACTAATTGAAGCTTATATTCATGTACATCACAGACAATCAGAATGAGATTCATAGTGTAAAACTCACCAAACCATAGATTGCAATAGGACCATCAGGGACAATAGGCGGCAAACTCGCAAACTCGTCCTACACCAAAACGTTCATATGATTCTGTTATCTTTGACAAAACCACATTGATTACACAGAAGAGAAACAAACCAAAGCTACGATTTTTTTTACAGCAATGTCATATACTAACATACCCAATAGGCTCCAGTCCATGTCTGACCTCCTTTATTGATCATACTATGCACATTCTCTACATAAAACGAGGTTTAATATCAGATGAACAGATAACACAAGCTTACTTATCCAAAAACAGAGGAATTAGGTTTTTTTTGTTTTTAAATCTCACTAGTTGAATCAAGGAGAAGGTATCTTGAAGAAGCAGTGTCCACTATAACAATCTCATTGTATCTGCTTCTTGCAGCTGAAACAACCCAATACTCTTCTTCTTCCTCTTCTTCTTCGTCATCTTCTTTGACTTGTTCTTGTTGGATTTGCTTCTCGCCACGATCACTTTGCTTGAGGCAAAACGAAATTGAGAATCTGGGTTTGTTCTGAATCGGGTTTAGGAACAAGGGTTTTGAAAATTGAGATGAAAGGAAGCAGCTTTCGTATCGAGAAAGTGAATGTAGAGATGAGATTGCTATAGAACTCAAAGCTGCCATTTTTGGTTTGGTTCAGTGAGACCTCTTTGTGTCAAAGTCTTATCCTTTTCCTCTTCCTACTACCTTCAATTTACAGAGTCTCAGCAAAAAAATGTCAATTTTGCAACGGTAAGTGTCTTGCCGTTTATTGATTATACAAACGGCACGATTTGTGTAACTAGAAAAGTCAAGACGACACGATTTGTTTTCTCATATAACTTTCTTTTGTCCATTTGTGTGTATACAAATCATACACAACGTTCACTATTCACATGTGATAATGTGACAAAATCTTGTCCTTAAAGAAGTTAAAACTCTTAGATGCTAAGATGTATTCAAAGCACCAGTTTCTAAAGGAGTCTCGCAAAGCTTCCATAGTTTCACTGTTTCACATAAACGTAGTGGAACCTTGTTAGACCAGTCACTAAGATCCGGTAAGCCACCGGTTAAAGCAACAAAGTTGAGACCTTTTGAATCTGGTGTTCTCTTCCAGCTAACCTGAAACAACGAATAAATCTCAAGCCGGGTTTAATCTTTTGGTTCTTCTCATTGTAACAAAAGGATGCATGAAAATGAAATGTGTTGTTACTTACTTGTCCAGGAAATGCTTCTGACAAGAACTTGACTGTTGAATTCAACTTCCAAGCTAAATCATCTAACACCAACTGTGGTTTTCCATTCACTATTTCTGATTCGATTCCCGCACAGTTCACCATAAGGCGACCGTTAGGCATTAACCGACTAGCTAGTTCCAGCCATATTGGAACCTGAACAAACTCAGATTCAAGAAAATACTCTGGTGTTACAAAATTGACTAAATAATATCAATACCATTACCACTTATATAGAGTACCTCTTGTAGCTGATCTAAGACCTTCCCATCGGCGAACAAATCAACGATGATCCCTAAATCGACATATAAGAATTCAAGAATTTAGACAAGAACATTGGATTAAACAAAAAACATTAACCTGTAAAACTTACCAGCATATCTTCCTGAATCATCTTGAGAATGTGAGAGAGCATCATCTACATGAATACTAAGTCTACCGCCTTTTGATGTCGGTATCTCTAGTTCAGACAGTCCGAGATAATTTCTAGCTTTCTCAATCAACTACTGTTCATAATTGAAATCACAGTGAACACAAGATTTCAAAATGCAAACGAAATGCCGCAAAAGAAAATCCGATAGCTTACTTACAATTTCATCGATTTCCCAACCTTCAAGCTGCGTTGAAGGCCACAACTCAAGAATCAATCTTGCAGCTGTTCCACCACCCTTAAGAAACACATGAACATAAAGTTAAACACTTCATCGACTAATCCGTATGAGTATCATCGCGTAGTGCTCACCAAGCCATAGATCGCAATGGGACCATCAGGGATAATAGGCGGCAAACTTGCAGACTCATCCTGCAAAACAAAAATGTCGATAGGATTCAACACTAAGCACAATGTTCTGTTATCTTAGACAAAACCACATTTACTTAATAATAGAGAAACAACCAAAGCTAAGATTTTTGTGACATACCCAATAAGATCCAGTCCAGTTATGCCCTCCTTTGTTGATAACACTATGCACATTCCCTACATAATTTTAAACTTAGGTTACAATCAGGGGATCTGATATCCAAAACAGAGGAATTAGGGTTTTTAATAAAATCTCACTAGTTGAATCAAGAAGAAGATATCTAGAAGCAACAGTATCCACTATAACAATCTCATTGTATCTGCTTCTCACTGCTGACACAACCGAACACTCTTCTTCTTCCTCTTCCTCTGCCTCTTTGTCTTCTTCAATGCCACGATCACTTTCCTTGAGGCAAAAGGAAAAAGAGAATCTGGGTTTCTTCTGAGATGGGAATACGAACAAGGGTTTTGAAAATTGAGATGAAAGGAAGCAACTTTGGTTGCTAGAAAGTGAATGTAGACATGACATAGCCATGGAACTCAAACTCAAAGCTGCCATCTTTTTCTCTTCAGTTATCTCTTTGCATCTAAAAATCTTATCCTTTTCTCCTACCTTCAGCTTTATTACGTCGATTACAGTCTCAGGCTCTAAGCTCACACCTCACAAGTGACTTTTGGATTGTGTTGGAAAAGTAGTCGGCATTACAACCCAGTTAGTGTCTTGCCGTTTATTGACAGTACAAACGGCAGTGTTTTTGATTCTAGAAACTCAGATTTTATGTTCGAATCTTCGGTATCGCGTGTTACAAGAGCTGAGCTGACAAAACAAAACGAACCGGTCCAAAACTTATCCTGAAACGGCATAGAACGTAACCTGAAAAGTATAGCCCAAAATGTTAAAATGAAAAAAATATCAGTGTTCAAAAGCACACGTGGATTCGGATTTGACTTGCGGATTTTGTCTGCGTTTAACGAGTGCTTAGAAAAACGACACGATTTGTTTCTCTCCAATAGAGAAATATTTGTATTGGTCTCGAAGAGTACACGTAAGCAATGAAATGGCCACGAATATGTACATTTTACTTGAGTTTTAATTATGCCAATTGTCCATATCAATAATAGTTAAGTTATTTGAACAAGTTCTTGATTTTTTGTATAAACGAATTATTTGCCGTTTGTTTTTACATGTTGCACAAAAAAAAAATTATGTAAATTTCTACTGTAATATATTTATTATATATACTCTAACAAAATTTTTATATAATATGCTAAAATAATAGAGATAAAATTATAATTATTTTAAATTATATTGAAAATGCAAAATAATACCTTCATAAAAAAATAAAAAATAAAAATTTAAAAACAATATTTTTTAGGAATGGTTGACAGATATATATATATATATATATATATATATATATATATATTAGGAATAATAAATTATTTGAACATACATTAATTAAGTTTTATACCCAAATTACCCAATGATAAAATTTTGGAATGATAAAAAAAATTTGGAATGACGTTTTCTATAAAACCGAAAAAATCTGTTTAATATACACATTTTATAATTATACAAAACTTAACTATTTCAGTAAATATTTCTATTAGAAAATAAATTATAATTTCCAAAAATTGATCCAATATTTAAACTTACCAGTAAATCCTCAAATTCAAAATCCAAAACTTTCTTCATCCGATAAATAATTTATAGGGAATCTTCCTAAAACCATTTTACAAAATATATAAATACATTCCCTGTAAGAAAAATAAAATAAAATAATTACATTATCCTGTCATATATTTCTTCAATTTAAAATAATAAATACATAAATAAAATAAAATAAAATAAAAAAAGATTGGCACACATTGCAACGGATAAAACTAAATAAGAGCCTTTCATTTTCTTCGTTACCTTCTTCACAAATTTATAAACACTCTCTCTTCCCAAATCTCCTTCAAATTCACCAAACCCTAATTCTCCTCTGTTTCTCAATGGCGATTTCATCACCCGCCGCTACTTCTTCTTCCTCAACTAAACTCCTCACTTCTCCACCATCCATCTCCATCTCCACTTCCACTAAACCAAACTCCATAACTCTCTCTTCCTCCTTCCTCCCTTCAATCACATCCCTCTCCATCACAACCTCAACCACACCCTCCCCTCACCGTCTCCTCCGCCGCGCCTTCACAGTTCGCGCGGCGAGAGGTAAATTCGAACGCAAGAAACCTCACGTCAACATAGGAACAATAGGTCACGTCGACCATGGCAAAACAACCCTAACCGCAGCTTTAACAATGGCTTTAGCTTCAATGGGAAACAGCGTAGCTAAAAAATACGACGAGATAGACGCAGCTCCTGAAGAAAGAGCTCGTGGTATCACAATCAACACTGCGACGGTCGAGTACGAAACAGAGAATCGTCATTACGCTCATGTTGATTGTCCTGGTCACGCTGATTACGTCAAGAACATGATAACAGGTGCTGCTCAGATGGATGGTGCGATTCTTGTTGTGTCTGGTGCTGATGGACCAATGCCACAGACTAAAGAACATATCTTGTTGGCTAAGCAAGTTGGTGTTCCTGATATGGTTGTGTTTCTTAATAAAGAAGATCAAGTTGATGATGCTGAGCTTTTAGAGCTTGTTGAGCTTGAGGTTCGTGAGCTTTTAACGTCTTATGAGTTTAATGGTGATGATATTCCTATTATCTCTGGCTCTGCTTTGTTAGCTGTTGAGACTTTGACTGAGAATCCTAGTGTTAAGAGAGGTGAGAACAAATGGGTAGATAAGATTTATGAGTTGATGGATTCTGTTGATAGTTATATCCCGATTCCGACTAGGCAGACCGAGTTACCGTTTTTGTTAGCTGTTGAGGATGTTTTTTCTATTACTGGCCGTGGTACGGTTGCTACGGGCCGTGTCGAAAGAGGTACTGTTAAGGTTGGGGAGACTGTTGATTTGGTGGGATTGAGAGAGACTAGGAATTATACGGTTACTGGAGTTGAGATGTTTCAGAAGATTCTTGATGAAGCAATGGCTGGTGATAATGTTGGATTGTTGCTTAGAGGTATACAAAAGGCTGATATTCAAAGAGGTATGGTTTTGGCTAAGCCTGGATCGATTACTCCGCATACTAAGTTTGAAGCGATTGTGTATGTGTTGAAGAAAGAAGAAGGAGGAAGACATTCACCGTTTTTCGCGGGGTATAGGCCTCAGTTTTACATGAGGACGACTGATGTTACTGGTAAAGTGACCAAGATTATGAATGATAAGGACGAGGAATCGAAGATGGTTATGCCCGGTGATCGGGTTAAGATTGTTGTTGAGCTTATTGTGCCTGTTGCTTGTGAACAAGGGATGAGGTTTGCTATTAGAGAAGGTGGTAAGACTGTTGGTGCTGGTGTGATTCAGTCCATTATCGAATGAGAGTTTTTCGCAATAGCGCGAGCTGAGCTCTTGTTCTTTGCTTTCTTCTTTTGTTTTTGAGATTACTCTTGGAAAAAATTGATTTGAAATTAGTGTTATTTTTCTTCTCTTTTTCTCGCCATTTTTTTAATATGAAAAAGACACATAATAAACAATTTCATAGATGTTCTCTGGTTTCAATCTGAATTGAAAAGCTCACATTTGTATGAATTGTGTGTTGGTGTTATAGATAAGGTTGTAGTATGTTCTCTGTGAACCTCATTCTCAATCAAATAAAGAAGCTTCGGTGGATGCTTCTGGTCCAACACATGCAAATACGTTCTAAAAGCAACATTATCGGTAGCATCTTAGCCAAATCTTAGGCTAAGATATGTGAATGAAAAGATCCTACACCAATAATGGTGATCTAATTAACAATGAAAAAGATTAAAAACACAAAAGATATGATATACAGAGGCGATACAAGAACTTTTATTACTTCAAATAAAGACGAAACAAGCAGAAAGAAAACAAAAATTAGAATCCACGGTTAATCAACGTTGGCTGCGATAGGAGGATCATCATCATGATCACGTCCACCACCTTGTTGGCTCTGCGATGGTCTAACTGGCACCTGGATATGTTTATAGTAACCCATCATTCTCCTCCCTAGTTAAGACATAGTTACCTAACACGCATGAGTGAATTGGCACAGTAGTATCATTTCTAATATCATGTGCATAAACACAACACAAGTACAGCTTTAAAATGTTTTAACAAGTCCTATAAATATCCTAATTGTTTCATGGATCTTCTCCATATATCAATTCATAACTATACAAAACATATCATTATATGCGTTTATATGTGAGTGTGTATGGAAACACTGACCGGTTAGTAAGATTGATCGGTGACCAGAAGGAAGAGCTGACTCGGTACGGCCAAGGACAGTGCAAAGGAGAAGAATCACTATTAGCACTTGACCCATTTTTGAAGAAGTTGTGTTTCTCATTTCTCGATCTTTTATTTGATCTCTCTTGACTTTTAGACTCATATATTTATGTCCATTGGGTTAGAACGTTTTTACGATACAATATGCAACAAACAAAAACTTAGCAAAGACAAGTTGACTCTCTTTTTTTTTTTTTTTTCTCCACTAGTCAATAATACACAACAATTAATCATTGCCCTTAACAAGTTGACCCTCTTGTTCTTATAAAAAAACAAATAACTACTTATAAAACCATATTAATCATTCTAATCTTGTTGTTCATATTTGACCATTCCTTCTTTACAAAGTATATAGTGACAAATATATCAGGGTTTTCAGATCGGATCTTGTTTATGTTAAATTATCCATTGTTTCATAGCTCCTAGTAAATGTGAATCCGTGATTCGTTGATCATCTTAAACCAATATATTAAAAGTTCGTAGGCCAGGATTCCGAGTTTTTATTTTGGTTGAATAAGAAATGTGATTCCCAAGACTATGAAAGAGTAAATTTGAGTTGAGGAATTAAATATGGTTATACCAAAGATAACCAATTATTTATAAGCAAAATCACACAAATTCAAAGAAACCAGGACCAGTCAGTTGGCCTGACTAGCCCCTGGCATTAGTCCGAAAACATTCCAAACTCGGGATAGAAAGTGTGGTGGCCCTTCGGGAAGACGTACACTCTGAAGCACTTTGGTGTGTTTCTACCGAGGCTGACCGGATCACAAGATAGGGTTTATCAAAAAAAAGAAAAAGAAAAAAAACTCGAAGAATAACAAGAATAGAGCAAAAACAGAAGGAGTGGCTTGAGAAAAAGGAGAGATAGGGTCGATGGTTAATAGTTTTGCCCACTTTGCTAGAGACTAGGAGTCTGATATGGTTATTATGGTCATTGTGGATAAATCTGTTTAATACGCTGTAAACCGACTCTATTTATATGTAAAAACGATTCGTGTTTGGTTATATTGATTTTTTATATAGCTTTTTAAAATATATACATGCTATTATATCATATTATATACCAAAATTGATGGATGGTAAATAAATAGTAGTCTATTCCATCTACTGTCTTTTCCGCTTCAAGCACTGTCACTATTGGAACCTTTAGAAATTTTGTTAGTACATCACTTCAATCATTAGCAGACACTCTGAATGTCTTAAAAATGGCAAGAATTTTTATCGATCCATAGGTTCCCGAGACTAATCTTAATTTTAAAAGTCACCAGTCTTAACGAATCAAGAGATGCTGATCTGGTCGAAGATAAGATTCGATCCACTTGGCAGATCGTGTAGTCAAAGATTATGGAAAATAGCATGACATTATAGTACACGAAGTTCAAATGTTCTTACAATGAAAATGATTTAATTAAAAAACATAAATATCACGTAAACTGTGAATTGTTGATGCAAAAGCAACATAAAGTTAAAATTTAAAAATTTCTAATCGGTGGGAGTGGAAGGATCATCATCATTAGAAATTTTTCCACCAGCTGTTTGGCTCTGCGATGGTCTCACTGGTCCTTCAATCATCTTATAATAACTCATCATTCTCCTCCCTTCATTTTAGTTTCATTCAAGGAATTATAATTAGAGACATATATATATATATATATATATATATATTTAAATAACAACATATAAAACGCAAATTTATGTAACTAAAAATGTAAAATGAGAAAGATGTTATGACTTTTCGAAACTAGATTTCATGAACTTTTTAACCAAAGGAAGAAGGAAAAAACCTTCTTTATATAAGATATATTATCCCACTGTTCCATAATATAAGATATTCTGATTTTTTTTTTTTCACTTTATAAATTATTTTTGTAGATTTTAATATTATTTGATACTTTTAACTCTGTAAATTTTGCAACAAAAAGTGATTAGATGAATTTTTTTTAATCTAATTATTCAATAATTTTTTATCTTTATAAATAATAGTTTTTTTTTTGAACACAAATAATAGTTTCATAAATTACACATATTTACCTAAAATTTTTTATATTTAACAGAATAAATATACTTCACGGTAACCTATAAGCGCTTTTATGTAACCATCTGATTATAACTAAAATGTTAAGTTACCTAAATAAATTCCTTCATGAGAAATTATTTAGGTAACTTTCCAGAACCGAAAATCAAACTACATACTTTCACGATTCACAAGTTACAACGATGACACCATTAAGCTATCAGTGCATAGTCAAGGAGAAAACAAAAAATCATCGAACTATAACTATTTAGGCAACTTCAATCTAAATAGTATTTTTTTTCTTAACAGTCTAAATAGTTAACTATAACTAAAAATCATTGAACTAATTATAGCTGAAGTCGCCTAAATAGTTATAGTTCAATGATTTTTTTTTCTAATAGTTCAATAATTTTTTCATTTGTCATATCAAGTAAAGCTTTGACATGTTTGAACACCTCCTATATATATTTTCCATGTAACTAGACCTTGTTTGACCATGTTTGAACACGTCCTATATGTATATGTATGTACGAAAATACGAACCTGTTCGAAGGAATGGTTGATGACCAGAAGGAAGAGCTGACTCGGTAAGGCAAAGGTGGGTGCAAAGAAGAAGAAGAAGAAGCACAATTAGTACTTGGCCAAACTTTGTAGAAATCATCTTCCTCATATCTCTCTTAATTAACATTCTTTTTCATGGTTTTAGACGTTCATTTATATACTAGAATGGAGAGTGATCGTTTCAAGAAAGAAAGAAAACAAATAAAAAAACTACTAATAAATTACCATTAATTTTCTCCACTAGTCATTAATCTTTAATAAGTTGACCCTCTTGTTCATATATAAACAAATTGTGTGAACGTATAATATATTAACCCTTTTGTTTTCTCATTGACTATTCTTCTCTATAATTGTAGATTCGAGATTAAGTTTACTCTTATCATCAATTGTATTAGACCTCTTTAAACATGTAATCCATGTCTGACTCGTGATCTTAAACCCCATATATTTAAAGTTCATAGATCTGAATCAGAGATTGGTTTTGGTTGTATGTGAGACTATATAATATTATTAAGGTCTTGATCGAGTATATTTGGGATAGTAAAAACCGATCAATAAATAAAAAGCAATCAAACGACCGATCAGTTTATGTGACTCCATAGTGCACTTGTTCATGTTCCTTTGGTTTTAGTATTTTTTTCCTTGTAATGAAAATTTAAACACTTTAGTTTGGTTTGCAGTTAGTTTTGATTTTGGCTTTCAGCTGAATCCAAATTTCATATGTTCTCTAGTTTCAATATGAGTGTGTATACCTTTTGCTACAAAAATGTGCACGTTCAGCTTAAATAGAAAATAAAGATAGACACTAAAAAAAGAAAACAAAACAAATCTTTTGTTATTTACTATAGAGATAAATATACAAAAAAAAAAAATCTCTCTAACATTCTTTTTCATGATTTTAGTAAAATGGAGAGTGATCGTATCACGAAAGAAAGAAAACAAATAAAAACCTTACCAATAATTTATTAATTCCACTAGGCATTAATCTTTAATTATAAGTTGACCTTGTTGTTCATATAAAAATAAAAAAGAATAGGTGACTACGTTTTATTTTAGAGTTTTTTTTATCGTTTTCCCTAGTTTCATATTCTATTTTGCATGTATTGATAATTGATTTGGCTATCTATTTAAACTTTTAATATGTTTTAGTTACTTGAATATGGAATATTAGGATACTCGTTATTTTGATTTTTAATTAAATGATATCTGATTAATTAGTATTCGAATTGTTTATTAGAAATCCGAATAAAACATGAGAATTTTTGAGAAATATCATTTTGGTGTATTTTTTTTCAAAAACACATCTTTAATCAATCTATTTTCAAAAATATCCATGTTTAAATATAAAAAATTATAAAGACTTATATAGTTTATAAGATACTTATAGATAATAACTAACATTAAGAGGTTGACAAAAAAAAATCTACCATTAAGAGATTTGATCCAAAAATGAAATAATTATAAGGTTTTAAATCATTTTTATTAGATTTACAAAGTTTTTAAAAGGTTTTTAAATGGTTTAAAAGGTTCTTATAAGATATTTATATGGTATTTATGAAAGATGTATAAAATTTTACACACATATTAAAATAATTTGTGTATATATTTATAAGATTATACACATATTTAGATAAAGTTTGGAAACGAGTATTTTTTAAAAATGGTATTTGAAAAATATATTTGTTCAAATTCTCTTATAACACATATCAAAATACATTAGAACTCATATTTTTGTATCTAAATTATCTCGAAGTTTCACGATATTGGATCTAATCTCCTCTAAGAAGCACTAACTTAAAACGTCCCGACCCTTTTTTTTTTTTTTGTCAACAAAAAAAAAAAAACGTCCCGACCCTTTATAACCTCTTTTTATAGGTTTTAAACCCACAACTTTTGATAAATGGTCAAACAAACCCAAATATCTACCAAGGCTATAATAACGTCTTCAATGTTTTAACTATACGTAGATGATCACTAAAAATCCGACGTATGTATAATCTTAGGACAACAAAGGATAAATTCTGAACTGGTTTAACCGAACCTATCCTGTCTAAGTAGGTTCAGCTTGCATATAATTATTTTTTAAGAAAACAAAATGCAAAGAAAACTTAAAATTTGTAATCCATTTGCAGCAATTTTGTATTCTCTAGACTTTGAACTTATAGGGAATTTAGAGGAATCCATTTAAACCCTAGCCATTAATATGTACGTATATCATATTATAAAACAATGACATACGTACATATTCAATTAAAGAGTGACCATGGTCAAGTTTCACTATTGTCCTTTGTCACGTTTATGAATGTTCACATGAAATATATATTGTAAGAGTAATATTGCGTCCACTATGCCGGAATAAGAAATACATTTTGGAGTTTGCTAAAATGAATAAATTGATACTCAAAATAACGACGTTTAAGACAATGATTTTTTAGAAAATAGTGAAAGATATAATGCAATATTCAAACTTTATAAAACAAACTAAGCATTTATGTAAAATATGATATATTGATACACCAATGAAACACTTCAAAAGCTTGACTTATGATAGCAGAAAATATGAAATTAAGCACACAATATAGTTAAAGACTATTTCTAGTGAATGTGACCACCACCATGTCCACTTGTTGATGCTTCTACACCCGTTCCACTCATAAGTCTTCTCCCTACAAATTATATCAAAAACTCAATTTAAAGCTAATTTAAAAATAAAACAAAACAAAAAATTAAGATATAAGGATCATAGTTTTTATATTCCAAATTTCCAACTAGTCTCTAAATTAACTTTAAATTGTGTATGAGTAAAAAAACTAATATGTGTTTAATTTTAAAAGAAAACAATAAAAAACATTAAGATATTTCATTATGTTAGCAAAATCTTAATGATCATAGTTTTTATATTCCAACTAAGTAGTCTTTAAAATTTATATTTTGTTCAATTCAAAAAAAAAAACAAGAAAATCCCATTTCAAACCCACCAAACCTTACATAATGTGAGACAAATCATCTACCAATTAATGAGAGATAATAATACATTTTCACCAAGATCTAGTTTAACTATATAGGAGATGAAAAATCATATAGAATAACACCCAAAGAACTATTGAGATTCGAGACCTTAAAAAGCAAAATAATTTGTAGTATACAAAAAAAAAAAGAACTAATCAATCACAATATAGACACATAACACACTCTTTTATAAGTCAATCTTAAGTTTCTTTTCGAAAAGAAAGAGACATACCATTACCGCCGCCTCCACCAGGAGCGTGTGGACTGCTTGATGATGGTGTTCCTATGGCACTCATCATCCTCCTCCCTATATTTTATGATTTGTTCAATGAACAAACCTTATGTTATATATTTGGATGTTATATAATTGTTAAAACACTAACCGGTGATCGAGAGTGGTTCATGGTGATCAAAAGGAAGGGAAGATTCTATACGGCAAAGAATGGTACAAAGAAGCAAAAGCACTATGAGAAAATGGAGAGAGTTTGAAGAGAACGTTTTATTTTCCATTTCTTCTTCTTTGTAAATGAATATATTCAAGACTATTATTTTATAGATATAAATGATTTAGGAACATTCCAAGAAGTTGTTGAAAACGAATACCCCAAAATAATATTAATTTTCTCCACCACTCATTTTAATTTGATTTAATTGACTTGTTGTGGAAAAAAACAAGTGACACTCTTTTTTAATTGTGTGTCTCATTGCATTTTCTTTTCTTATAAATAAAGTAGAAATGAATGGAGGACTAAGACTAAGACCTTGACATCTGATAGAGGATCAAGTTTGATTCCTCCCAAAAATATTATCTGATTTGTTCAGAACTAATATTTGAGTTTTAGTATATCGGATCGGTACATATGATATGGTATACGTAAATGTATAACATAAGAGCCAATAGTTCAAATGGTATAGATTTTACGAATCATCAGGTAAGAGATGTATGGATTTAGACTCACAACTTCTTACTTACTATTTATTAAAAAGAAAATGTATAAGTTAAAATGTCATATATATATATATATATTAATCAAAAATGGGTGTCTATAGATTATCCTAGAGTCATATCCTCAAAAATGGTATCGTATGTTGGAATGAAAACAAAAATTGTATCCTCTAATCTCTTTATAATTAACAAACAGTAACTTATACAAATGCTAACTCTTTTTTTTTTTGTTTCTTTGGGGTTCATTGACCATTCTTTACGTTTGTCTTAGTGACAAAAAAAGAAATAGTCCAGGCTGTCCAGGATCCGATCCTACATCCATTCATGTTATTCATGGCATCAAAGTTCCTACAAGTTTAATCAACGAAATCGAAAATGTTTTGCACAAAAACAAAATACGCACATGGACAGAGAGAGACATAACGAAAGGTTGTGAATTTTTCTTTTCTGGTAGTAAGTAAAATTGCCTAATTATCCCCAAATTAGTAATAGTATCGTACTATCCTACACCAAAAGGTTATAAGTATTAAATTGTCTATTAATCACAAAATTAATGATCCATTAATTTGATTAATATGCATGTGTACTAGCTAGGGGGTATGGAGTGCGACCACCATCCCATATATGTCCACTGCTTAACGATCTTGTAAATACATCTCCATTTGGTGTATCTACTCATCAATTTCCTCCCTACAATTATATATTTATTTATTAAAGATATATGTAATTTAAAAAAAATTAAACTAAAAACAAAAGCCATCCAAATATTATAGACGAATTATGTACTAAAATTGGGTTATGAAAATTTCAACTATAAACTAAAAGAAATTTGAGAAACTTAATATTCTATATGTTCTATTTTATAATATATTTTAGCCAAAAAAACTCATATTTAACAAGTTTTTTTTAACAAACACATTACAAAAAAAATTGATTAACAAATAAAAATTTTACGAACATATTACTGGATTTATAATATAAATTGTTTATACCGTCAGACAAAATGTCTAGTGGTAACGACAGTCCATTATACAATCATGGTCTTGTTGTACGGCTATTCGATTGTGAAACCGTTGGCTCCATGTCCATAAGCGGTCAGATCCAGGTCCGGTGTCGGCAATGGTCGATTCTGACAATGTTTAAGTTAATTAAATCGATAGAACTCTTAGGTTTTTACTCAAATCAAATACATATGAGCTGTAGCAAAAGTCTCATAAAAAAATAGTAACTTAAAATAATAAACGTAGTTGCAATTTTCAGTTGACGTCGCAAATATTTAGAAGCCTTGTCATAAACAAATTTCAATATTTCGTACCTGTAAAAAATTCTCAAACCTTTTGATGTAGAAGTGTATATATATTGGGTGACTAATTATTTATCAATATTATATATGTTGAAATAGCTTTTCGTTTATAATGAATGTATAGAATTTTAATATATGTTTATACAATAGTTTTGTGTTATTTTATGAATTCTTACATCAATTTATACAAGTTCTACTGTACGTAAACAACATTTTACCTTGGCTACGCGTGTACATGTTACGTGTTTGTGATATTGAAACACTAACCGGTGACTGAAAGTGATTGTTCCTCAGAAGGTGGAGAAGCTTCGGTGAGGCAAGAAGGGAGGACGCAAAGAATCAAAAACTTGATTTGTTTTTGAAGAACCCATCTCTTGTCTCTTGCTCTTTGGCTAATTCCAACAGATTAATTCCAAAATATATATATATATATATATATATATATATGAGTTTTTTCCCTCCACTTTTTTAAAAAAGTTATTTTTCTTGGTGTACATAGTTTTGTCAATCCATGAATTGAATAATTGGAAGTTTTGAATATCCTGTTTCTAAATTAAAAAAAATATACATATGAAAATTATTATGGAAAGCACAAAAAAAAATTAAAAAGAAAATATCTATTTATATTATAAAAATAAAACAATAGAAAAATAAACTTTTCATTTTTCCATTTTTCCATTGTTTTCCGAGAAATTTTCATTCTTTTTACACCCTACTTCCTCCAAGGGTAAAGGAAAAACACCACATTTTATTATTACTTAAGTTGTAAAAAAATAAAAGGTATATTCAGAATAGCACCAAACTAATTTAGAATTTAAGTGACCATCTACAAATTAGAACTAAAGCAGATAATAATGGAATATGGTAAAACTAGAAAATTTTTATGTGTGCAATCATAATGTATTATTTAGTGTGAACTAGCAAAAAAAACATATATATATATATATAATAAGACAAGGGGCATTCTGTAAAATACCATCAATTTTGTTTTTAGGACAAAAATACCACAAAACTAAAATTAAATTTTAAATTTTCAAATTCTAAATTCTAAATTCTAAACATAACGAAAAAAATTCAAAAATATAATTCTAAATAATTTATTTTGTTTATGTTTTAGAAACGGATACTTTTGTTTTATCATTGGCGGATCCTCTCTATTTCAAATTTTGAAAGTTTCTATATAACGGAAGTTAACGTCTCTCTCTCTCTCTCACAGTTTATTCGAAACCCTAAATTTTCAATTCCGCAAAATTATCTGGAGAAGTTGAAGAACGGAGGAGATTCTTTTTCCGGCAGTCTTGCTTTGGGCCACCGATCTAGAAGAACCGTTCTCTCAAACGGTCAGTCTCACAACATATCAAAAAACATTCGAATTCTGGGTTTTGAATCCTCGATTCATGAACTCTGTTGCTGAATTTTCAATTATTAGTATCTTCGATGCGTTGATCATCTCTTGATTTCAATTTTTGTCTCCATCGGTTTTCTTATTTTCATCATTAGTACCATCGACGATTTAGGTTTTGGTAACGATCGGTTTAGGTTTAGAAATTGAAGATCTGGTTTAGGTTCTATGTGTAGAATCTATGTGTTACTGAATCCCACCGTACATTCAAGGAGATAATGGAGAAGAAAAAAAATGTAAGTCAGTCTTGGTGTTGAACCAAGATCATATTTTTAGTCTCGCAGGGTTTTTTTAAGTTTCATTTTTCTAGTATGTTCAGATTAATTTCTCTGCAATAAATATATGGTGATGAGCTTTTGCTGTTTCAGATAGACTAGTACCACATTCAGCTACAGAGAAACATGAATATATCAAGGTATTTGCTCTTATTCTTATTCTAATCCCGTCATTTGTATTTATGTGTCTCGGATTTATCTTAACAGGAATGAAGCTTTAGAACAAGAGTAGAGAATTTTCATCAAGTTTAGTTCATAATCAGACACATGTAAGCTATTGATCTTATGGACGTGTTTTTCTGAAAATTCATGTACCTCTGCAAATTTTGATCCGATCAAATTATTTTGGTAATTAGGTTTGGAAATTATGTTACCTTGATGCATTCAAAGAAATAATCAGTCTCTTAGAGGAAGTATGCTTCTTTTTCCCCTTATCCTTACGGTATGTTTTATATTATGTTTAACTGGAACTTATATGTTTACTCAAGCTCTATCTGGGAATCTGCTCACTAGTTATATACATGCCAACGCCTCTGACACTCTGACCTATTACATGCTTTGGCTAACAATGTGTTGGTGAGTTCTGTGGTTGGATTATGTTTGTTTCCTGTAACGCCCCGACCGCCATCTCTCCAGCGGGTCCCATGTTCACCACCAGCCTATAGGCCCACCTCTCTTAATGGGCCTCACGTTCTCTGACTAGGCCTATGAGCCCATCAATATCCACGGCCGATTTGCTATGTCCGGGAGGCTTACAGAGTTGTTTACCGACCCTACAAATCACCACATTATCTTTTCATGTGTTTTGGCCTCACTCACACAATTTCGACAATCACTTTCCGGAAGGTCACATATCCTTCGATTACTCCAGAACGCCCCGACCGCCATTTATCTAGTGGACCCCATGTTCACCACCAGCTCATAGGCCCACCTCTCTTAATGGGCCTCACATCCTCTCACTAGGGTGAGCCCATTAATATCCGACGGACGGTTTTGCTACGTCCGGGACACTTAAATACTTGTTTACCGACCCTACAAATCACCACATGATCTTTCCCTGTGTTTCGGCCTCACTCACACAGTTCCGACAATCACTTTCCGGATGGTCACCCATCCTTTGACTACTCCAGCATAAGCACGCTTAACTATGGAGTTCTCTCATGACCCTGAACCGAAAAGATAAGTTCACTTTGGTGACATAGGTGGCCAAATCAATTCATTTAAACCTCTCCGCAAGATCGTGTCTCACTTTTCCACTATGAAGTATTAGCTTTCTTGATACCTTATATCAATACATAAAATCATACGATTTTAAAAATTAATTGTATTAACAAAAATTTTAGTTATACTTAAAAAATAAAATATTAAATAATCATTTATTTAAAAATTTCAAGTTTTACTTTTAAATAAAAAAATAAAATATTTTAATATTTATTTTAGTTCTAATTATAATATGTTCTAAAATGAAAATAGTAGTAAATTTAAAAAGTTAAAAGTTAAGGGCCTACTTTATAAATAAGAAAGCTCATTTGTATTATAGAGGAAAAAAATAGAGTTCCGCTATATATAGAGATGAGAATAGAGATGTGTTGGAGCAAATTTTATTCTAAAATAGAGTTTAGAGGCAAAAACATAGGTGTATTTGAAATGCTCTAAGAGGGATCCAATGGACGATGACAAAGGGAGAGACTAGTAACTAAAAAGTAATTTTTAATAGCAATTCCGTAACAAAAGAAAACGTATGGATTTATGTCATTTTACAAACTTTTTATGCTATTCTCGTCGGTTCAACTTTGTATGTGTTAGATTGGTTATAAACCATAATACATGTACTAGTTTAGTCTATTTCCCTAATATAAAGTTTTATTTTCCTTTATTTTATTCTAAAAGTAGCAAAAATTATTTTATTCTAAAATTAGCAAAAATGAAGTCATCCTCTTTTATAGCCGTTTAACCTGTATTCTTTCTCACATTTTTTTACGGAAACCAATGTTTATAAATAGAAATGAAAACTGATCATCTAACATCTATATAAATAATATTAGGATGATTCATTATATTCTAAAAAAAAATTACAAAAGAGATTTCAAAGAAAAAATTAATTTTTTTTAAAATGGCCAAAATTGTGAGATTTGTTAGTTTCATCATTATTTTTGTGATGATTTCTTCCTTGTTGGTTTCAACAGGTACATTTCTGTTTTTTTTCTTTAAATGCATTTTGGATTTTAACATTTGTGTTAAAAAAAAATTCTTCTATATTATACATATATTATTTTCCTCATATATATGAGATTTACATTTTTTTATATATTACAAATGCGTGGCTAACAAAATATGACTTAAACAAATCCATGCCAACACAATTAAATAGCTAGGGATGTTTCTATCAGGATCTAATCAAATTAAATGCATTTATTGTAAATATACCTTTTAATTTCAGTACTTTCTATTTATCGATTACTAAACTACTAGTTTTTTTTTCCAGTGAAACCAAAACCAAAGAATCCTGCAAAGCCACAAACTCCTCCGACACCGCTGCCACCAGATGGAAGACCGTGTGATCCGGTTTATATAAAAGCGCTGCCTGGAGCATGTCATAAATTAAATGGAGATCAATTATGCCAAGAGGTTTGCGGAGGACCTAAATATTTCAACGGTTATCGATTCTCAAAATGTGCGGCAGATAAAAAGTTCTGCGAATGTCGCAATTGTTTCTAAGTTCCTAAATACTGCTTTCCGAACTTACTAAAATATTAAAGTGTTGGTTCAATTATCCAGATTAACTATTTAATAATCAATGATGGAACCGGTTGTTTAATTACTTGTTATATTGAAAATGTTGTCTCAAAGTCGTATTGTGACGCAGACAAATAAAACTATTTTATAAAAAAATTGTTTTAGAATTAATAAAATTAATATTTTGAAAAAAGAAAAAAAATCATATTTATCGTTTAATTGAATTAATTTAAAATTTTTGTTTAAGCTTAATAAATAATCTTTTTAGATACTGAAAGAATCCATCCCATTTTTTTTCCTTTTAAACATGCAAACCGGATTAACTCAATTAATTCGAACCAGCTAAACCGGCCATAATAATTTAAATCAATTAAACCAAGCAATCTCATTAAAGTAAACCAACAATATTAACCGAAGACTTAACCAAAAATCTAATAAAACAATCCCACTAAACCAACAAGTTCAACCAAACATTATTCCAAAACATGATCATCCTAACATGTTTCTAAATTCCATTCTAACACCATAACAAATCCAACAATAATCTAAAACACTAATGAGTGCCTAGATCATCCTCCTCTCCTCGCCATGATTCCACGGATCACACTTTCCTTTTACCTGCATCAAAGAAAGAGATGCATAAGTATTTCATAAATACTTAGTGAGGGCGATCCTCCCATCTACGAGCTATACACACAAGCAATGAGATAACACCCACATATATAACAAAAACAAACCATCCAGCAAGCTAAACATCCAATAACACATCCAGTTCACCTACAAATCATCACACAACAAGTCACTCAATCCCAATCGCTTAGATAAGCTCATGGTCACACACTCACCTTAACAATGTGATTTGAATTACAAAAACAACCAGGAAAGACTCTCATCGCGACTGCAACAGCCAAACAACGCCCTACAACAAACCACACGAACAAAAATCTCTAAGAACCTAAAAGACAGAAACAGCAGAAAAACTACAGCCGCAGAAACGAAGCCCTAAAACATAAACCAACCGTTAACTCCTTAACTCCTTAAGCTCTATATGTATTATGTGTTATCTACATAAACCAATAAATAAATTTACAAGTAAATGAAGGGAGGAGAATGATGATGAGGTGGTGGTGGTCACAATACGGTACGATCATAGCTAATTCATAACTTTTAAAAATCGATTAGTAATAATTGGTCACCTCCTTAAAAACAAATTATTCACTTTGCTTCCGATACTTTCATATTTGTTTATTTTATATATTTTTTATATACAGATAGTAATAAATATCTATTAAGTTTTGTAGGGAAGAGACTGATGAGTATAATATAAGCAAAATGGAGATATTCTTACAGGACCTTCAGATAGTGGACATGGTGACTGTCACATTCCTCTCCTAGTCTCCTTGGCCAGTAGACAAACTTATGTAATAATTCACCAAAATTAAGACATGTTAATGTATAATTTGCAATATATGTGGACTTCATTGTTGTATGATTAATCCAATTTCAATTAAACAAATCTTTTAACAAAAAGAAAATAAAAATAAAAATCACGAAAAAGAAAAAGGGTCAAGTATTGAAAATGAATGGCATAGATTTATAGATTTTTTCCAATTGTTTTATAGATTTTTTTTTTTTTCGTGGGTGGAGAACTTTGATCTGTCTTGACAGCTTATAAGATTATTCACTAATCTTACGACATAGTGATTAGTGAGAAGAAAGAAAGAGAGATGGGAAAAAATGGTTCTTCAAAATTGGTTCATGTGCTCATGCTTCTCCTTCTTCTTAGCTTCATCTTTCAACATACCGAATCAGCTTTGCCTGCTGAGCATGGACTACCCTCAATAACTGGTTAGTGTTTACATACACACACACATGTATATTAATTTTTAAAAAATACCAGTACAAATTTTATTTTCCAAAGATATGTTTCAGTTATTTGGCATAGAGCCAGATTTATATTAATATGAATGTATATTTATTTTCCAAAAAAAAAAACATAAAAACAAATATGAAGGGAGGAGAATTTTGGCGTATTATAAGCACGATGGTGCCATAGGAACACCATCATCAAGAAGTAGACGTGGTGGAGGTGGTCACGGTATGTATGGTACTCATATTCATCTTTATATGTTTTACTTTTCTGTGTAATTCTCTATATTTAATATTTTACTATTGTAAAAATATAATTGTAAATTTGGAGGGCTAAAAAGGAAGCTGGTGACAATGATACATTCAGATAGTCCTCCAAATCATCAATATCATCTACCGCTAACGCGAGCTAAACCTAAACGTAAACCGCGACTACCTGCGCCTATAGTTTCTGCTCCACCCCCACCCCCACCCCGGATAACAAATACACCGCCACAACCACCGCCACAGATGTCACATCCTCCATCACCACTATTACCACATGTGCCTCCTCATTTGCCACATGCCTCATCGCCGCTGGTATAAAAATATTTTATCATTGATTTTGACAAAGTGTATACAACGATAACTTTTATAAAATCAATAACTCTAATATGGTTTCTTCTAATTAACACTTCAAATTTTTTTGTAAATTACACATTCAAACTTCTAAACTAAAAGAATATTTGCATACATAAACTTTTATGATATTTTTAAAAAAAATCGTAGCTAATTGAAAAAAAAAACATAAATTATATATGTGCTGGTGCTTTAGAATTATATTTTTTAATTCGTAAATTTTACTAAGTTACATCTATGAAATCTTATCTTCGTATAAAAATAATAGTGTTCTTATTACTTTTATATAATTAAAACATATTTTAATTAATATATGATGCTAGTATAGTCATAATGCAGTTTACATAACTAAGAAGGAACCTGACTACGCTGTTGATGATTGTCGACGAAGGGAGCTGATGGATATAGTTAAAGAAAATGTGTTATTGCGTCTGCTGATATGTGTCTTGCACTATTCATCAGCATAATTTAGTCGATATGATATATTTGTAATAATCGCAAATGCTTTTAAATGTTGTAACATAAAGAAGGTTTTAGTTACCAAAACAAAACCCGACCATATGACAGAATAAATTTCTGACAAAATAGAAATAAAAATATTTATAAAAATATATATATATTTGCAAAAGACTAAGACCAACATTAACAATGGGTTTTAGAGAGTATGTTAGGGTATTAAGGTTATAAAAATAAATCAAAATTGATTAATTTTACTAAGATACTTGAGTTGGGTATGTTGGAGAAGGATTTTTTTTGTGGGTTAAGAGACGCCACGTGGCGCAATCGGATTGGGTAAGTTTTTTTTTTTAATTTTTTAATTTTTTAATTTTTTTTGGAGAATGATTCTTTTGGTGGGTTATGACATTATAATTTAAAAAAAAAAAAATTTTTAATTTTTTTTGTAAACCATTTATCATGACATTACTATAATTTCTATGAATTGGGTAAGTTGATAATTATATTATGACATAACAATTTTCAAATTTAACTATGAATTTGATGAATCGATGTTAAGAAAAACCCAATAAAATTAGCCATACATGAAAAACACAAGTCAATTTTCTTATATTACAAATTATAAATTTATTTAATTTTAAAAAAAGTTTTAAGATACCCAACTTAATATCATACCAATAAACACATCTCAAAACTAAAAACAAAATAAAAACTCTTAAACTTTACTTTTTCAAATTTAATACTAAATTAATACTAACATACCCTAACTAACATCCTTCCTATAATGTTGCTCTAAGCATTCATATTCATTCGTGTTTAAGTATATTATTAAAGTCCAAACTGCAAAGAGCCAACGACTCTCTTGACAACAAAAGAAAAAAAGAAAAAAAAAAATCCAACCTCTGGAAAAGTTTGAGCAAAGAGTCAAAATTTGGACACGTAACAAAACTTTGAAAAGAAAAGATAGGCCAAAAGATAGAAGAGGAGAAATGTCAATAATTCAAATAAGTGACGAACAAAATAACAATAATTTTTGTATTTTTGTGTTTGTTCTCATCTCTTGGGGTTGGCTTCTTGGTACTTCATCGTTTCTTCTCCACCGAAGACTCCGGTCAGGCGACAATAATTTTCTTTCTTTTTCTTTTTGATAAGTGACAAAATCTAAAGACTTGAATTATTTATATATTATTACCAGCGATAATATATTTGAGATAAAAAAAAAAAAATTATTTTCTTAAACGTTAGCAAAAGGCCAAACGCATTACTTTAGCTGCCTATTATATCTCTGAATATGAAATAAGAGAATACTATTGAGAGAGGAGAAATAGAGATCGAAGGGATCGAGATGACAAGTCTAAATTTATAACATTTTTTATTACTGAGTTTAACCATTTTCTAAATATATTATAATGACGCTATGTTAACTTTCAAATAAACGAATGAGTTGTTTGATTTCCTTGATGTTGATGCTCCAAAGATGTCTTCTAATGTGGAGAAGCCAAATAACAGAAATGTAAAACTTCTTCGAAAATAGGGTTTTAACTAAAAGACAAATTACAAAAAATATATTTATTTGTGACAAAATATAATCTTTCAATTTTCCTTTTTTTTTTTGAACAAACTAGAATCATTAAATTTTCTATAAAGATTAATTTTGAGGATTATGACCTAAATCCAAATTCTTAAGATTTTTTGCTAAAAGAAGTCCAACAACCCACCACTGAATATTTAAATACCATATGAACAAAAAAGAGTCCAACTTGGATTAAGATACAAGAGGTTCGGAGAACGTCAATAATTGAAATAAATGATGGACAAACCAATAATATATTTTCTTTATATGTTCTTATCTCTTTGGTTTGGCTTTTTTGTACTTAAACGTTTTCTCTCTACTTGTATATATAAATAAATGTCTCTGCAAACCAAAACATAGAGAGCAAATTAACGAAGAGAGAGACAGAGACATATAGTGATGAAGTGTTCTTCACTATTACCTCAACTGGTCATTCTGCTTTTGCTGATTTGCGTCTTCCCTTGCCACAATGTAACGTTTCAGTGTTTCTAATAAAAGGTTTTATCTATCTTATCATTTTTAAAGTACATTTCTTACTAAAATCTATTTTACATTCCCATTTCGAAGAATAATAGATAAAGAAAATAATGAGAATTA